AAACAAAAAGTAGAGCCTATTTCTTTTAATAAATGAGAGTTTTTCTCGACTATAAAAGTGTTGTTCGTTGTCCTCCACTTTGTTTGTTGAAACCTACCGACGTATAAAAAAATCGGCCAAGAATAGTAGTAATCTACTTTATGATTTGTTCTTTTGAGAAAAAAAACAGATTGACCCCTAAGTGTATGTGTATAATGTGTATAAATATATAGAAATATAAATATATATATAACAATAATAACAATAACAACGTATAAACAAATATGATAGGTATAAAGAGTACTGTTCAATGTAACAAAATGCAAGTATTTGTATTGAATAATCAGTGCATAAGAATGTATCGTTTTTTTTAATATAAAAAAAAGACATAAGAGACTACACAATCCAATCAACTAAGGAAACCGGTTGAAAAAAAAATTGGTCGAGAAGAAACCTCTACTTCAGTATAACAACAGGATTCAATTAAGGCAATGATAATAATATAGAATAAGATAGTAGAAGAAAAATACAAATTTGATGAACAATTTGGTCGAAAATATGTTTCTGTTCGAGAACAAAAAGGAACGATCAAAAAGAAATTGTCTAGCAGTCCATTGAATCATTCATAATTTTATTGACAGTCAACTGACTACCTGCCACTTCGATATTCTGATTGGCTGACAAAAATTCATTCACTATGGCATACGATGAGAATCGACCAATCGGAAATGAGTAAATATATTGAATCAATGTTCAAGGCTACACAATATGGGATGATGAATCGACATTCAGAAGAGTGGAGAAATCAATCTGAAGTACCATGATGATGGATATGAAGAGATGATCAAAGTAGTTTATGTGCGAACAAATAAAAATAGTTTTTTTTCATACATTTATATCTTATTATTCACTTTCAAAAAGTAGTGGTATTGTGGGTGAGATAAATTTAATATAAATCTTTGCCCTATTTTTGGATTTGCATTTTTTCGTCTTAAACTTATTAATATTAAGCATATAGTTAAAAAAAGAACGGAAAAACACAAATTTGTCCTCAGTCTTGAAATCTATGCATTATATTCGGGATAAATAGATGGTTGATGTTTTAATTTAGTACTGCGTTTTTTTGAAAAAGATCATTTGTTTAGTTATTAAGACGAACTATTACGTTTAAAATTCTATCATTACAAGATAGTTTAATTACTATCCGAATCCGATATGCTAATTTCCGCCATACAGTTAGACGAATGACCAGTTTCAATTGTCCTTGTTTCTGAACAGTTAGAACTTTGTTCATCAGTAGAGTGAAATAGAAGCATTTGAGATGTTGTAGACTGATGGTGATGGTAATAATAATTGTGATGGTAAGGATATATATAAGACGATGGCAATGTTGACAATTGAGTAGAGGGACTTAATTGACAAAATCTTGCAGTATGATTGATACTACCAATAGCAGGAGAAAAAGAAGAGGAAGAGGAGGGGAGAGACAGAGCTGAATTCCTAAGATCAGATTGATTAGATTCATTTACATAATAATGATTATGTGGAGGAAATATAGAGTAATTACCAACAACGGCCCCGCTATCATTGTCATTATTAGTACTATGCCTTGATATACTTTGTCTGGAATAAACGGTACATTGATTTGAAGAGTTTATTGACGGATTAGCAATATTCTCTGATGAATTTGTATTGTTTTGCAGTGACGGCGATTGACCAATAATTAGTCGTATAGTTCGTAATACATAATCGACTGTAAATGTAAACAATGAAGATAGATTCAATGAAAATCTCCAAAATGCTTGTATACTGTAATTCACTGTTCTAATTCCATAATTGAATAAGATCCCGGTTGTCTGTTTGATAAAGGAAAAAACACAGTACGAAAGTGTTATATATAGAACTACACTGGACATTATTATTGATAATAAAGTTGAATGAATCTATACATTTCATATGCCCAACTAACGCCTACCTCGATCTACGTAGTTTGTCCTTATATGAATGGGTTGGAAGAAAGCTATGGAGAGGGATGAACTAAGACAAATATCAGTCTCTGAAGTCAATCACTATTGGGCTGAAGTGCAAACTTTCTAATTGGAATCTGTGCTATAACCGAGATTAGTAATTGATGTTAACCCATGTTTTGTTTACACCTAGTTGCTGAGTTTCCAAGTTCTACATTGCTTACAACTGACTGACTGAATAAATACAAACAATGATAAGCTCTTCTCATGGAATTTTTAAAAAAAATGACTTGTGGATTCAGAATTATTTTGAGATTGTCTACATAAAATAATAATAATAATAATAATAATAATAATAATAATAATAATAATAATAATAATAATAATGGTAATTATTATCATTACTATTATTTTGAATTGAATAAATGTTTATATGGTATTGTTAATGAACTTGGCGCCAGACAATTAAATAGTTGTTTTTTTGTCGAATACCCCATTTAATAAACTTAAGAGTTAACTACTGAGAACAGGTGAGAATAAATGTATTTTAATGAGATATGAATAGTTATACCCTAGTGAATTAATGTGTAACCTATTAGCCAGTAAGTATATTATGAAACATTTGTTTGTGTTTGTTTTTGAAGAAACATTACAAACTTATAACAATGGTATAATATCATTAGTGTAACAGTTTGATAATTCTCTTCTCTTTGTTGATTATTTCCTGTTGACATTGTGGTGTATGCTACTTATGTTTGTAGATATAAGTAGTATGCAACATTATTCGGAAATGGAATGTCTGAGAGAAAAAGGCTGAGAAGATTGAAATGGAGAGAAGAGAGAAGGAAACTGAGAACAATCAAGATAACAACGGAAATGAAAGAACAACGAAGCTTGTAAGAGACAATTCGAAGATGTGCAAATGATGTATTTGATGTATGATTCTCACATTTTACTAAACTACTGTGTGATTGTGCACTAAATAATAAATTGGCCTTACCCACTTGAATTCACATTCACTACAATATGATAAACCAATTGTTAGTAGTCTGAAGTCAATATTATCCACTAATCATCAGAAATTATTCCTGAAAAAAAATACTGTTAAATTATTTCACACTTTAAACCAATCAAATTGTATGTGTCAAATTCAGTTATTCTCACAGCCAGATTAATTAAACTCAAGAGGAACTCACTTCTATATAAAGCATCATTGACGTTTGTGTCTAAATTAACATTGAAGTATTCGCCAATTTAAAAAAAATACACACAATTTCAAATAACCATTCCACAGTCAGGCGGCCAGCTTGAATATCTGGGCTACCTGTTCCTCCGATCTAGATATTTCATCAAGTTATCTGTTTTCTTGTTTGTTTTAGCACATCATTATGTCTATTGTGCGCACAATTTATTCAGGCGCATTTATGAAAAGCTTACAACCTTTCGCTATACGTGATACAAAAAGGTACAATCAGCGACATCATGGTGGCTGGTAATATGCATTGAAACGAATGAACATTAATCAAATGTGGATTACCGAACTCCTAACATCTAACCGGTCATCATTCAAAATTTATCGTCATAATAGATCAAGGTATAAGAAAAGGAAACTTGTTGAAATACTTTATGCTGAGAATTCTATGTTGTACCAAAAGTATAATGCTGAATAAAGCTAATAATAATAATAATAATAATAATAATAATAATAATAATAATAATAATAATAATAATAATAATAATAATAATTTTAAGAGTCAATCATGATAAAATAATTTGATTATCGAGAAAACTACATTTCAATAGTTCAGATCATGAGTGAATTGAAGCCAGACCACCATGGAAAACCTGGAACCACTGGACGGCCGTTTCATCTTACTGTGGGACTCCTCAGCAGTGCCCACCCACGATCCCGCCTAATTTCAACTGCATATATATCCTGGAGTTCTAGTGAGAAACAGGGACCAGTGGAGTTCAACTGGGTCTGTTGTGAAATAGTAACTCACTGATGACAATGGTGGATGTGTCGCTCAATTTCGTGAATTAGTTGAAGTTAAACATTAACACTGTTGGATGCCGGCCAGCTCATTGGTCTAGTGGTTAAACGCTTGCGCGCGAGACTGATAGGTCCTGGGTTCGAATCTCATGAGTGGTTTCGTGGACGCGCACTGCCGAGGAGTCCCGCAGCAGGACAAAACAGCCTTCTAGTGCTTCCAGGTTTCCTATGGTAGTCTAGCTTCAAATGACTCATGACTTCAATTATTGAAATTACTACAATCTCCACAAAACCCCTTCTAAAACTACATTTGTTGAATTAAATATTTCTTTTCTCTTTGTTATAAATAATCCTTGTTAAATTTGATAGTTCGTAAACTGCTACTACTAATTAAAAGTAATAATTTAACAATATTTGAATGTAATCCAGTTCACTGAAGATAACATTCAAAAATATAGAATTCCTGGATGAATTCATACTGGTGCCTAATTGTCAGTTAAAAATATTGATACAAGATTTTCATTTCTAACAACTACGTCACTGTATACAAGACCAATTTAATTTTAGTGAAGTGGGTTTATGAAGTTTGTTGAATTTTTATAGCTTACATTACGGACAAGTATTCGAAACTAAGAAGCACTGAATAACCGTTTCATTTTAGTGTGAAAATCTTTTTATTTATTTATTTGTTTATTTGAAGACATAAATATTGGTACTCATTGGAGCTGAATCTAGAACAAAGATCAATTCGTTGTGTGAACTACCAGATTTTGATTTACTGGCTCAATTACGCTGTGTTTTCGAGAGACCTGAAGGTTATAAGTTCACTTTTGTGTGTGTTGCCCTAAATATGAGCGTGCCTATAAAAGTTTCAATTTAAAATGAATAAGGCTCTTTAGTTATCAGTAATTTTTCACTGAATATCAGTTCATGACAAAAAATCATCTTGCAATTTGTTACAGATAATATTCTCCATTTATAAACAAAACTCGCCTTTCAGGAAACTTTTATTTTGACAACTGAAGTCATCTGCAACATCTTCAATGTCCAATGACGGACGTTGCGTTCAGTAGGTGAATACTGTACAGTAAACTGTAATTTTCAAAAGATATTTTATTCAAAGCATCTGAAATTATCCACAACTGTTTGCTATGGATAAATCAGTGTACAGTGCAGTAGAAAATGCTGGATGGAAAGCACAAATGTAGTGAAATTTAAAGCTTCAAGTGAAATCTTTGATGGAAATCCCACTGTCATATGTAGTACTCAGTCAATGAATGAATTGGAAGATGATTAAAGTTGTATTAAAACACAATACATTCATTGAACATCGAAAACAGTAAGAATAATCTCTTAACCAAATAGACAACTCACACACTTTTCAAAACTGTTGCTATCTCATCTTAATTTTTTTTATAATGACAAACGACCAAATTAAAATTAATTACAATAATTCATTTTCTTTTCTTTTTTGTCAAACCATAATACACTATTGAAAACTTGTAAAAATGTAAAAGATTTCAAACAAAAAATACATAATGAAAGCAAATCTTATACTTGACTTTCAAGGTTAAATTTCAAGGTTACATTTGTAGCACATGATACTTGTTTTATGCTTAGATTTGTATACATAAACAGAAATTTTACCAGTGTATATCTATCTATATATGTACTATCTTTTACCTGAGATGATTGACTATTTATCTAGATAATGGGTAGTGTGTGTGTGTGTGTTTGAATGAGTGAATGACTAAGTGAGTCATAGTTATATCAAGTTATTGATTCGGTTCATATATTGTAAGAAATTTATTCTTCTGTACTTTAACAAAAATTAGTAAAGATGAGTTACAAGATAGGAGGTATAGGTAGGTAGGTTAGTAAGTTGGTAGGTATGAGTAATCCAACGATATGAGATAAACACATATATATTTGAGATATATTTATCAGAACAGAACAATCTCTGTCTGTGGAAGCATAAGACTCTAAAACAATTTTATTAAATAAAAATGAAACAACGTTTTTCAAATGTTTACTATCCTATTGCACTAGAGATCATTGTCTCTGTGTCGACAACGCTTGAACTAATAATGGTCAGGAGTGTGAGGTAGATGGACGTGTCGACCACTTTTATTTATCTTGCAAATTTAATCAGCTCTGAATAGGTTGATGTCTGATGAATAATAGGTAAGGATTCAGAAAGCATGTTTAGTCCGTTCTAGCACTCCACGTGTATATTGAGACCACTGAGTGAGAAATGTCAAGGTTAGATGTGGGGTAGCAGTCAAAGATGGCAAACTGACTCATAAGATCGGATATTATCATCAACTGAGGTGATTGGGACATGTTTTAGGTGCGTCCAACCACCGCCTACTTTGGTGTATATTGTTGGGTAGTATTGTGTTGGATTGGAAGAAAGTTAAGAACAGACAAATCAAGACATGGCATCTATCTATGAAGCCATTGATTATTCATGGGTCTAGCTTCTGATCTCCACTACAACCATGACTAATGTGATTGGAGACGGTGACTGGTATGGCTCAGAATCCGTCGCAATGACAAAGAGGCATTCGCTTTGTCTTTCCTTAGATCCTAAGTTTCGAAATCAGTTTATACTCGTCATTCTGCATATTCAAGATTCTTCAAATACCTTCTCTATGATTAATTTGTTTTACTGCCACTGATACTTCTAATTTCATCTCGATATGCTGAGGTAATGTGCCAACTTGGACTAATGCATATATGTACGTTCGGTCAGTCACAACGCATAACCTGTACGTATGTACAGCGGTTCAAGTTCCCATACCTTAGTAGCATAGAGAGATGAAGTTCTTAGGCCAAATCCCAGAATAATGGAGGTAGTAACAGTGTCAGTGGTAATAGGAAAGATTAGGCATTGAAGATAAAACTCGAAAAGAAAATATAAGTTTGTGAAATAAAAACGAAAAAAATTATGAGGAATATAGAAGCTCATAATTTTGGGGAAATAGAGACTGAATACACTTGCGCCATTGCAAATGATTTTGAGCCATGTCATTCAAAGTCTCTAACCATTGGTTACGATAATCATGCGGACCCGGACCAGATATGGATAGGTTCAACTGTTAGTGACTTCATGGACTGATGCCATGTTTTGATTTGGCTGTCCCTAGCCTTTTTCCAGCTTGCTCTTACACCACACAACATCGATTTCTACGTTACTTATGACTGACTGACTGACTAACTGATAGATAAGTCTATGACAAAAATGTATGGAAAAAACTAAAACAACGAAAATACATATAATAGTACTGAATGCATGTGATTAGTCATTACTATGGGTTGATGGAAGTTTACCATTTATGGAGAGGAAGATTTTATCCAGTCGGATAATAAGATTAATATTACTACTAACAACACCACAGTAGGCTAATAAACTACCAACCATTGATAATTGTGAATAAAAAAGACAATATTAGTAAGTGCAAATCTTGTTTTCTTTCCATAAAGTGAAGAATTTTGAAAGTGTATCAGACTTCAGGGAGGTCTTTGTTTGGACTGATCAATGTGTCTAATCCAAACTAATTTACCATTAAAAGGTACGCACATACATACTTAAATTTGAGTCAAACGTTTTATATAACGATTAGTAATATCGCTTTGGTTATATAAACCCAATGTAGGGTGTCAAAGCAGGGTTCGAGTGACATACAATTATTTCATATTATTGCATTGATTCCTATGTTTGTTTCTTTTCATCCTATTAATTTCTCCCCTCAATGTTCCAATGGTAAGACAAAGTCTATATTAATAAATTGAACCAATGTACATTTATTGAATAATTTCAAATAAAATCACAAAACAATCCAGATATCAGAAATGTGGGGAGATCCAGAATATTCTTTGAAAATAGTCCAGAGAGGCCCTAAAATCTCTGGGATGCATTTTAACCAATCAGCACTGAATATAAGTTTTTCAGAAACACCTAGAAAGTGAATAGTCATGTGTCACATTTCTGATTGGATGATTACCTACCCTGCTACTATTTTTAGTAGGGGTCCATAACCTTCCAGAAGTCTAGGGTCATCTGCAATGCTATAAATACCTTCAGTTTTCTGTGCAGAAATGAACCCTGAAGTAAGGCGTTCTTTCTATAATTCGCGCCTTTTCTCTCGTGTTCAAGTTGTCGTGTAGATTTAGCCTGGGGTTATTAGATTATCTTAGGAAATCGATTCAAGAGTTCAGTCACATTTATCAAGAAATATCTTACAAAAATAACTTTATCTTTCTCAAAATAATCATCATGTTAACAAACTCCGTCGACTATAATTTATGCAAGTTGATTATTAAATAGACCAGAAGTTCATTTTACAAAAACTGATTGTCATGTACAATTGGAATATTTGTTCAATTCTCATTCAGTAAATATTGTTTCAATTTCGATTTAATTCATCTCTGAAGTTTATTAATAGTTATAGACTAAAGTAGAAATGGTATTTATAATTGATAAACTCTAAGGGATTTGTGACGATTCCACACAAAGAAATGTATACAAGTTTACAGAAATTGTATTTTACAAGTTGTAATTCAATCAATCACAATTTTTGTGTAGAAATCAATGATTAAAACTTAGATGATATAATGAACACAATAATTCAGAATTAAAACTACCAGATATCAACTCCCCATTAGGTCCATTGACAGGTTTCTTTTTCAAATTTAGTTGGATGCTTCACAGGAATTTATGAAATTTTAAAGTGACTTTTTGCATAAACTGATACCGGACAATGGAGAATCGTTAAATATCAGGAATTATTGGGTAGATGTTCTGGTGTTTGTTTGAAACTCAATGGTAATATATCCAGTTTCACAACGTAAAACAAAGGATTGAATAGAACACCTGCATATCTTGTGGAGAGCACAATACTGCTAAATCACTGAATCAGATCAGTACTCTATGTGAGTTTATGAATGTACAACACAGTGAAAGAGATAATAACTAAAACAAAACAGTTATTCAGTCCTTCCAAGATTTCAAGGATTGCTTAGACTAAGTCAGTCATACCTTTCAACAATTTATAACAATATCCAGGTGATGATAAGTCCTAATTAGCATAAAACTAGTGTACATCTCCGATTCCAATATTGGGCAGAACTCTGATGTACATAAAAACTTGTAACAAAAAGTTATATCGAGTTATACACTAAATATACATATATACATACCATCAAGGACTGGAAAAATTTAGTGAAGAATATCAACAACGGGTTATTACAATCTCTTTACACATAACAAGTATTTATCTGGTAACCTGTAGTCATCACAGACTGACAGCATTTAGCGCAATAATGAAAACCAGGAAGTACAGGTGAAGTTCATATACATGTCAAGAGTGAAACGGTTGTCATCAGTGGCACTGGATAATGATTGGATCATATCGCAAATTCACTGAAGTTGGAACAGTACCACTGGATGTCGGTCCGGTGGAATTAATTGCCAAGCCTTAGCCAAGACGCCTAAAGATTTTCGGTTCAACAAACGCTATTTGGGTCGCGGTTACGCATTCCTAGGAAGTTTTATACCGGGAAACAGGGGCTTTCCAATGCTTCCTGGTTCTTAATGGCATCCCCCTCCTGTGGTGAGATCCGTTTGTAAAAAATATCAGCTACAAATTAACTTGATCTCCATAAAACGGCTTCAAACGTAGTATTTATTTATTTGCTGAAAATTATATCATAACTTACCAAATTATACCACCCCGATCGATTTCTTCTTGAATAATCTATCATTAATTCATCTGCAACATAAGCCAAACGTCTCGCTAATAAACTTGTATGTTGTATTGGATTAATCGATGTAGACGAGAAATTCATGTTTGTTCCACTGTTGTGAATGAATTGTGGTACAGTTGATAAATTACAATGATCACAGTAATAATGGTGATCTGAAGATTGTTGATGCCGACGATATTGACAGTGAGAATAATTTGGGTTAAAACCTAAAGTTGTTGGTGATGATGCTGTTGGCTGTAGAAGTGGAACAGATGAACATCTTGGTTGTAATAATAAAGAATGATGAAGTGAAGTGATATTTGACGTAATTGTAATAGTATCATTATTATTCATATGTAACCCGAATCGGGGTACAACGTCAGGCATAGGCGTCGATTGTAATGTTGGTATATTATTATTATGACTATTCAATTCATTTAGATTATTTGTCATTGCTGGCATGGTATTCATCATGGGGGAACTGGGTAGTGAAATGATGGAACAGAGAGGAGCGACTACAGAGATAAAGAAGAGACGAACAGAAATTAACGAAAAAAGTGAGTGTCCTCAAGAATATATGTAAGCAAGTTAGTTTTAAGTCAAACACCAGTGTATTTAGATTAACATGTAACCTGTTTGCAAGTCATTTGATGAGTTAGTCAGTCTTTATTGATTAGGGTGGTTGAGATATGTATTATGTATACCCAACCGCAGAAAACTTCAATGAATGATGTTGGCTGGTGTAGGAGTAAGTTTGAAAAAAATTTAAAGGCACCCAAACTAAGACGTGGTATCAGTTCATGAAGTAAATTACCATTCGTCTGAACCGTGTTGGTAGATTCGGACTATCTGGCTATGGTCTGAGTGATTATCGTAACCAATGGTTGGAGATGCTAAATAACATGTCTTATAATTGGTTACAGTGATGCAGAGGCATCCACTCTTTGACTTCTCCTACATCTTAAGTTTAAAAATTGTAGTATACTTTTCTTTCTCTAAATTTATCCTTTCTTCTCTAATTACGTAGTGTGTATGTCTAATGTTTTCTACTACCACTGATATTGTCATTGCTTCTACTACTCGGACTTTTGTCTTGGCTATGTCATTTTAATGTACCGATTTAATATGTTAACTTGGACTGACGCACACATGTGTCAGGTTCCACGTTGCTTATGACTGTGCCTCCATTAAAATGTAAATTTATTGAGTTGATGAGTCTCAACCTAGGCGAAATATGTATTCATTGCTATAAAAGTACAGTTTTGTAGACAACGTATCTTTCCTTTATTATAAATAAGCACAAAAATAATAGATTAGTTAATTTAAGCCAGTACATCAATAACTGAAGAACATTATAAACCCTACTCACCCTCCTACTTGTGATAGACTGCTCAAACTTACAAATCATCTTATTTTTTTAACTGCGCATGAATTTCCTTGTTTTAAATTTACCTCGACTAAATAATGATGTAAAGTCGCAAGCCAATAACCATCTGAAGATTCAGTAGCTTAGTGGACAATGGTTTGAGGGTTTTAAGTGAAAGTTACTGAGGTTTGAGTTCCAGTGTAATGAATATCAACACTGAGGTACAGGTATATCAAGCTAACAAGTCCATAAAACAACATGTCCAATAATTCAATCAAAGGTCGACAAGTACTTCTTCTTATGCTACAGTTAAATAGGTCTGCAAATTTACATATACCTGCCAAAGTAGCTACATTGGTCGAACAGAAAGGAGAGAATATCTTGGGTTGTATGAATATATTTCCGAAGTCGTCGAACAAAAGAAGGTACTTTAAGTATCACATATCATGGACACAGGACATCAGGTTGGTACCTTGAAATCTATCAAAGTGATTAGTAAGCAGCCAATCATCTTAGTTTTGCTAAATCCATTGTTATCAACAGTCAGAAACCTGATTTATGTGTTCAAAAGAGATGACTGTTAATATTTCTAAGACATGATGACACAATTGTTTCTTCATTACATCACTTTTGTTACCATCAATGTTGTAGAATGCTCTTTTACATAAATACATATGCACAATATTTTATTTGGTACATTAAATTTATTGATACCCTTTTTATATAGTACTGATGTGTCATCCCATCAGCTTCTAACTAAACTCTTTCATTCAAGCAATTTAAACTCAATTTGTAATTGGAATTCTTTCAATGTCCCAGGTTGTAGGCAGATGACGAGAACCAAACGACATAAAATGAAATTGAACGTCCTGTGTTCGACATCCACGTATGGGGTCCTAGACGCTCACTGCTGAGGCATCCCACACGTTAGGACGAAACAGGGCCCAGGACTCTCAGATTCTCAATGGTGGTTTAAGACCAGTTCGTTATTTATAAACCGTGATAATCTTACAATCTCACTGCCGATAGGGTTACAGCTTCTCATCAAAATCACGAAAATTACCCCTCGAAATTAGTTACTAGTGATCATATGATTTAATTTCAACTAGATATTCTAAATGAATCGAGATTACTGAATAAATTAAAATTCCTAAGATACAATTATCTGTGATTGCAGTTTGAGTTCCGAATAAGGAATTTTTTTCTAAGGTACCAAACAATGTCTTAGTTTTTAGCGACACTTTTAATTGATCATAATATCAGTCCATAATAAAAACTATTGTAAAATCAACGTGAAATCTCGTCATAAAGTCTCTAATCTGATTAATATTAAACACGTTTTCTAAATATAGTAGTTTGTTTTCCATATAGGCAAAATCATCCAATGCATTGTTTGTCTTTCCCTGACACACACACTTATGGGGTAAGAGAAAAAATAGAAATGGAATAAAATCATTTCTACTCACCCCTCTAGTTGAAAGAAAAAGACTCATTGTGTTAATGAAAAATTCTTCACTAAAAGAATGAAATTCCTTCTTCTTTTTTGCCTTAGATGACAGTGACGTTTCTATTACCATAATAGCTTATTTAACGAAAAATCCAATTGATCAACACAATATTCAGTTCAAACAAAATTTGGGATAGGGGTACATATTTGTCTAGTTTTTTACATACAAAGTCATAGCAACCGTACATGAAATAATGGAATGAAATGTACATTTAGTGTTGCTATGTCATACATAGATCTTTTTTCTTATTATTACTATTATCGTTATTACTACCACTTCGTGACTCTCTATACGGAAACTGAATTCATATTCAATACATAAATATATATGAACAAAACATTTCAGCTCATATATATACATATGAAACGTCAACGTTATCTACTCAGAGTAGATTTTCACGAAAATAAGCCGAAAATATAAAAACATATGTTCACCTGTGTGAATGTATATCTCCATGTATATGTATATTAATATATGTATGTATAAGTAGAAAAAAGTAACCATACCCGTTGATGAATAGAGGGAGGGAAGGTGATAATCAGATTGTTATAAATAAACAAAAAATAATGATGAGTAATCAATGTAAATTCCTTTAAGAAAAATAAATCCTCCAATAAATATCATCGTCATTATCAACATCATACTCTAAAATGTAAAAAGACGTTACCATTATACTACTCATTTACTGACCATCTTGTTTTCTTTTAAAGAAAGTGGTTAGTGAATGTTAAATTTATTATTAGTTAAGGTCATAAAAATGAAAGATTTTTGTTTTCGAAAAAAGTTTTGACCTGAGATGATATTAGATGATAAAAAAGAAACGTGTCACTTTGTTATAAAGAGGATAAAAGTAAACACTTTTTGGAGGAGGAAAATTACTAACACAAACCAGTAACTACTATTTTACAGATTTCACTAAAAAAACAGCGATAGTAATCATGTGTTAGTTAGCGGTCGATTTTGAAAAGCCATTAACACAGTTCTAGCGAGAAACTGTAACTAGTGGAGTGTGGGGCAGCTAGCTACCTCCCCACATCAATGACGTTTGGAAATGGTTGAGTAATATCACAAATCGGCTAGTCATATATGTAAAATGTCGGTTAAGCGATCGTTGTGAGACCTAGAGGTTCAGGGTTTGATCCCTCATGGGGTCATGGGTATACACTGATGAGGTTCCCCGTACCAGGACGAAACACTTCGCTAGTGTTTCGTGCTTTTGCATGGTTGACCAAGATTAGCTTGTGATTTAAACCATAAAACTAATATTAAGTCGCGATTTAATGAGCTCTTTCAGTACGGTACATGTACATGAACGGTAACAAACGGAGGAAAATGGTACACAAACCCATATAAACTGATGGCTGAAAGTTATGTGATGAAATAACTAAGTAGTAATTAAACCTTTTTAAAAATAGTAGTCAGCAATCGAATTCAAAATGCGCGTTCCTTCTTACTTGGGACTCATCATACACAAGAGTCTGGCCCATGCATTGCCGTGCTGATATTTTCTTTTACTATGCCTATGAGTAGTAAATATTGTCCTAGTATTTAATGCAATAATAATTTGACAATAACTAGCTTGGAATTCCAAGTTAGTGTCTCACTTGATTTTTTTAACATATCTACAAAACAAATTTTTATTGTACTGTAGAGTGCTGATATGCTATGGATTGAAATTTGTATTCACATAATACACTACCGAGATGGTAATCAATTTATTTAATTTCTCAGTACTTTAAATATTTATGGTATGGTGTAGTGAATCTTACATGTTACCCACACTGAAATCGGTTGAAGAATTATGGAGAATCGGTGACAAAATTGAGCAATTAATTCATCCTAGTTAGAAATTTGACTCTTGAACTCTCCTCACTTTTTTTATTCACTAAACAACATGGTCATCTATTTTATTAATTAACCGAGGTTGAAAAATGAAAACTAATGAATTCATACTACAATAACAGAATACAAGCGAAATTTTCACGACTACACTCAACGTTTCAGAACTGATCTTCCATATGTGATACTGTGAGTGTATTTGACAATCCGGTCAGTCAGTCAGTCAATCACTTACTTGATCATAATCAACATTAGAGCCTGAGATAAATGTACAATAGCCCAATTCCATTAGATCACATTAACATGATGAGATAAAACCAACAATATGGATAGCAAAGGAACTGAAATAATATAGTAGCAATGTTAATGAGAAAGACTAAGGATTGAGAATATGGCACGGAAATACAGAACAAAAAGGTATGTTAGAAGGAAAACTAGAAGTCAACATCTAGAGCATGATAGTGTAAATGAATCTGCTCTATTGTAACCGATTGTATGTCACGTCACTCAATGTCTCCCAATTACTGATCGGGGCTGTCTTGAACATCTCAACCAAACAGTGGGTCTCTACCAACACTGATCAGACCAATAGTCAATAATTTTGTGAATTGATATTACATCTTAGTTTTTCTGTTTCTATATTTCCTCCAAGTTATTCCTACACTAAAAAACACTGTTTAAAGTAGGTGGTGGTTGGGCATATGTAACGACACGTATTCCAAACACCATCTTATTCAATGACGATTCATAACTTTATCAACGGACTTATCATTTTTACTTGGTGCCTCTATCGCTAACGTTA